TTCACTTGCTATTTCCCCATTGGATTTATTATTTTGGAAGTGAGTCAACCTTCTCTTTTCGTTTGTTTTGTTACTTTTGTTAAATTGTTAAGTCAAAAAATGAGAATTTCTGATTTAATTACTTGGAAGACACTTAAAAATATTTGAGGATTAGTTGGAAAACACTTAATTGAGGGTAGAACACCTTAAATCACTTTAAGCACAAGTTAAAGTGTATGCTTCTTAGATTTTAAGTGCGCACCCGAGGTGAGAGTTCATCTACCTAATTCTCAGTGTATGCTTCTTAGATTTTAGGAGCACACCCTAGATGAAAGTCCATCTACCTAATTCTCAGTATCGGCTTCCTAGATTTTAGGAGTGCTCCTTAGGTGAGAGCCCATCTATCTAATTTTTCAGTGCAGGCTTCATAGATTTTAGGTGCACACTCTAGGTGAGCGTTCATCTACCTAATTTTTGAATGAATAATGAAACTAGACACTTGATCCTGATTTATAAACTGATTAAGATATTAGACATAAGGATGCATCAAGACGTAGTTCATGCTTAATTAAAACAATAGTGGAATTCCCGTCATGACTTGAACTATAGTGAAACCCAGGGCACCGGGATTTGAGCTTGGTTATTACACTCAAATCCTCTTGACAATTGAAGACATTTGTTAATGTCACATATAGATCACCGGACTAGGATAAGTCTAAAGTCTAGGTGGCGAGGGCAATAACGACATTGCTTATGTGTGCTTAAACGAGAGATATGAAGTGAGATTATTAGAATAATATCTCCTACGTCAAGGATCTTCATAAGGGAGAGGAAATAATCGATGATACTATTCACTGATTCTTAGGTGGATCGTTGCCCTCGACGCTTTTAGGTTGTCAATTCTAGCACAATTATAGTGACCAGCCTATAGACTACACGATTTTACAAAATATTTACAAAAATAAAAAATAATATTTATAAAAAATAATTTCTTTTGCTTGTTAAAGTGAACGCTCCATGTAAATCTAAGAAGCAACTTTTGCATGAAAAATTAAAGAATTTTTGTAAAACTTACAAAGGTCCACGATTAGTCACTTGCATTGATGTTGAGAACTGCCTTTCGTAGATTGTCTGGTTGGTAACTCTTATTCAAGGTTGGGAAGAACACAGTACAGCTCTGAGCCCCTACATTTACTGATGTCTTATTCCTAGTCTTGGCCTTTCATATGTGACTGCGGATTTTGCTTTGTGTGTTCTTATTTTGCTACAACTCATTTTTCTGACTTTCGTGCTGGGTCTTCTCGCTTTGCTTATTTTTCTTGCAAGTTTATTTAAATCTATTGCAAATCATGTTTTGAAGAGTTGTCATAATCGATTTCAATTTCAATAATAATATTTGTGTTTCTTTTATGGTTTGAGTTTTCTACTTCAATATCATTTGCTATCAGAATCAACTCAATCCTAGTTCCATCCTAGGGTTTAGCATCCGCTCGTACCCAATCAACAACACCAAATTTTTTTTATGTTATTTCTTTTGTGTTACTTTTTTCTCTTCTTTCTGTCCTTACATAGATCTTAAGACCGTCAACTATGCTGCCAAGAAGGAATATATTCGAGCTTACCCAAGAAGAGATATAGTGAGAACTTCATCGCCTCCAACAGAGGCTTATGAATATTGAAGAGAAAATCCAGTGGGAGATTACCCTCGATCGTGATCTGGAAGATCGAAGAGAAGAATGAGAAAATATGAAGATGGAGTAGGAAACACAATGCCAGTTCCTACCAACTTACTACCGTCAAAAGTTGCAGATTCTAGTTTCTGAAGAGGAGAAACCGTATCACCAAGCGACCCCCTTGCTATTTTCTAGTGAAACCAATCCACAAGTCTGTCACAGCCATAAAATGTTGCAAGTACAACGGATTCAGACATGTGGAAGCAGAATGCATAGCCAGGGGAGTGATCTATTTCACATAGCAGGGTGTTGTTAAAACCCGGGGTAAGGACACCACAAAAAATTGAAGAGCACTTGTTCGAACGAGAATTTTTACCCGATGACTTCTTCTTCTTGGAAACTCTCTTATTTGTGGATACATGCGATATTTTTCCTCCATGTGATCAAAAGGAACATGCGACTTTTGATGAGATTGTGATTCCTACTCTATTAGTAGGTGAAGAACTTATTTTTGAGATATACAAAGTTCACACAGATCAGAAGATGCCAGAATTTAAAATTTCAATGGATGGTCTCAGTAACAATCAAATGATAGCATCAGAGATGGTTGCACTTTCAACCCTCACCCCCAGTGTTCCACATGAAGAGACAAAAGACCGGGGTGAAGCTCTTGTTATTGTAACAAAGAAGAAGATGTCAGCTCTCTAAAACCTCAATAGTCAGAGGGAAGACTTAGATAATAGTAAGAATCACCCATCAACCAAACTCTTGCGAACCCTTAAACCCACTGAGGCGCAACTTGTCATAGATGAGAAACATATGAAATATTTACTTGTTCAAAATTTAGCTCGGGAGAACTTACATCGATGTCTACCTTCGGCTCAAATTATGCTAAACCAAAACGAATCAATTGGAGATATACTCGCATGTGGGAAAAGCTCCTCAGACACTTTGGGAGCTAGTACAATCATAGGTGGGATCCAGGAATGGCCATAGAGAACCAGAAGGATCGAATCGGTGAAGTCGAAGCTCCTCCAACCCCGAGAAACTGATGTGGGGCATAGGGGAGGACCGGCCAGCTTCAAGGGAAGGGGGGCTGCCGCCCCCTCCTTCCCTTTTTCCCTCCTTTCCCTTCTCCCTCCTCCTCCTTCCTCACCTTTACTTTCTCTACCCCTCAACCTTTCTTTCCTAAGCACTTTCCTATTTTAAATTCTTCTTAAAATTTGGATTCATTATTATATTTTATTCTCCCTTCTTATTTTAATTTTTTTTATTTTAATTTCTTTCCTATTTTAAATCATTTCCTAAAATCTGAAAACCTAATTATATTTTATTCTTATTCCTTATTCTTATTACCTAAAATAAGTCTAGTTTCTTTATAAATATGGGATGATGTGCTTAAAGATAGGGGTTTTGTTTTTTGTATCTGAATTTTGGTTTTAGTCTTGATATTTTTCCCTTCGAGGGCTGCATCTGATGTGGAGGTAGTGTTCTAGCTGTCCCTCGTCCGAGGTGGTGATCATCTCCACGGGTCTGGGTGGTGCTCCGGCTGTAGCTCGACCACATCGAGATATTTATATATCCTTCCATCCCTCCTACTGCTGTCCACCTGCTAACCAACTTTACAACAGACCACCGCACCTTTTCCCCTGAAACTGTTGACTACTGTCTTGCCTCCAACCGCCCCCAGCAGCCTCCTGGCTGGTCTCACTGCTGTTGTTCCCCGTCTCCTCCTAGAAATCGCAATAGCCTTTCCCGACATTCTCTTGGCCAGCCTTCCTCTTCCTGCTGCTGATCCCTGACTCCAGCATCCTAAGCAGCTCCCAGACTCCCCTTGCACCCTTGCAGGCCGCTGTCCAACCTCCTCCCTGCATCCACCAGCTGCAACCCAGCTCCTTGCTCCCTCCAACTTGCTGCCAGTCTTCTCCCAGCAAGGCCGCAGGTCCCCATACTCCATCCCAAGCCTCCGGATCCACTGAGCCGATCTCCACCGCCCTTCGGATGCACTTTCGAGGTGTTGGCTTGTGTCTCTGTGTTTGTTTGTCATTTATTTCATATTTTGAATAGTCGTTGTAATCAATTTCAATTTTAATAATAATGTTTGTGTTTCTTTTGTGGTTTGATTTTTCTCCTCCGGTATCACCGCATATATTTTAATTACCCTTTAATTGAGCCTTCTAGTAATTGAGCTATCAAAATGTAATTTAATGGCGAAGCCCTAATGACAAAGTTGGTTTAGCATGGGGATGAGCTATTAAATAAATGCTTTTTATGACCATTAATAAAATCACACCCATTTTAGTTTCCATTACGTTTTTCCTTTTAGGCTGACTAGAGCCTTTTGATGCACCGTGGAGTAGAGACAACATACAAGACAAGAAAAACAGACACAAACGGTATTAGATATTTGGAGGACCTAAAGAAGTGTAATGGATAACCAGTATTTTGCCATTTACCCTTTTATTGTCCATAAAATGTAGCTTCAAAGGCTTCCGAAGTTAACATTTTAAGATTTTAGTATTTGGGGCTGTTTGAGTTCACTTTTGCTTTCTATTTTTTAATTTTTATTTTGTTTTGTTTATGATTGATTATAAACAAGATATGTTTGGCTATTTGATTAAAATATGCTTTTATTAAAATCACTGAAAATAGTTTAAAGTTGTTTGAAATGTTTTAAAAAAACATGTAAATTTATATTTAGAAAAAGAAATGTTAACTAAGCAAATATGTTTTTAAAAACAAAGGAAAAATAAAAATAAAATTGATCTTAATGAAGCTATTAGTTTCAGACCTATGCTTAACCTCACTAGGTGAGATGGAGGGTGGTGCTTCGATAAGTTATCGAGGCTTGTGAGGATAAATTTGAAAGGGAAAAGTAGCCGTCATCATGGCTATAAGTGGTAGAGCGTCTTATAGAGGTGCGTTGGTCGGAATGAACTGTGAGATAAATAAGGGGATGCACACAAAAAATAACATTGATAGAGACATGTAGTTACCCATTAGATAGATCACAATATTGATATTCTTTGGGGGCATTACATACACACCACTTAATTCCCATGTATTTACATCTATAACACTTAAGCTTTACTTTTTACATTTCTACCACGCAAACCTTTCATATCACATAAAAATAACTTTATTTTAACTTTTGAAAAGTGAAATACATGTTTTCATTCATAGGTAAGGTGGCATAGATGTAAAAATTGAAGTTTGTGTTAGATATATAAATACTTTGGAATTGAGTGGTATGCATGTAAATCTTCCTTATTATTTCTCTGCCTTGAATGAACATTTTTTCTTAAATTTAAAGTACCCTTCTTTAACTTGCATTGTTTCTCCTTGTAGATACCTTGATGCAGGGAGAGATATGGTTGCAAGCCTTCAATATGGAGCCAGATGCCCCTGTGGATATTGCCATATAGCAGATGTAGAATCCCATAAACTGGATGACCATATGGAGAGCTTTTTTCTTGCAGAAACGGTTAGTTCTATTTAATTCAAACTATGACCTTAAATGCCTATAATCATCATCATCATTAACCTTCTGTGAAATGGCTGAAGTAGAAGAGATATTCTTCTTCTAACAATGGTGGAGCCTGGAATTCAAGCGAGAGAGGGCAAAAGGTTTTACCCCATATTTGAAGGGGCTAGAAGTTCTATTATTTATATAGCTAGAGGATAATTTAAGAGATATGCATTCATACTAAATGCATTGTGACCTCTTTTTTGATGAGGATAACATATTCTCCAGCCTGTCTCTATTTCCTAGGATATAGTTTTATGAATTCTTTATACAACTTCCTTGAAGGACTAGTTAATGACTGAATCTAAACTTAGAACCAAACTTATCCCCTCCCTAGTTCAATTTAAACTCAATTTGGTCCTTAAATTATAAGTTCAGTTGATCATGAGTAGAAGTCTAGATCATTAAAAATTAATAGTCTTTTAAGTCCAAGGTACCCTTAGGCTACTCTCGAGACCCTTGAACCCTGGAATAATTCAAAACCTTGAAAGCCACTTAGGAGCCTTTGAACCAAATGGACCATTTATATAACCTTTTTTTGTTAATTTAAGAGTGGTGAGCGCTGCCCCCTTCCCCATCCAATTTGGACGGCCGCCTTCTAATAAAGTCCTTTCATTACAGATTTTTTTACTTGTGTTGTCCATCTAAATTTCTAATATCACCTTTCTCAGGTCAAGTATCTCTGGCTTCTTTTCGATTTGGCAGCTGGACCAGATAACATTGTTGAAAATGGACCATACAAGTAATCTTTTCAAAACTGCTGCTTTAGTTTGTCTATAAGAATTAGCGAAATTTACATTAGTATCACAGAATTCTTATATATTTGCTTATCTCACACTAACACTTTCATATTTACATACATAGCACTTTGGTGCTTTAAATGTATGCGTGAAAATGTGTATTTCACTTTTACAATATGGTAATAATGCAATTTTTGATGTGATGTTGAAGATTTGAATGTTATGTGCATAAATATGAAAGTTTAGATGTGAGATGTAAATGCATAAGAATTGAGTAAGAATTAACAAGATATAGAAAATAATCTTTGTTGTAGGTATATATTTAGCACAGAAGGCCACTTATTGCCTGCTACTGCTGAAATAGCTTTAGCAAATGAACATTGTTCATATCTCGGAGCTTTTTGCCGAGATGACGGACAGAGAGATTCTAATACTGGAATCTCTTCTAGCTACCAGGAAGCAAATGATACCAGAATTTCTGATGATTGGATTCCTTCTTTTTCCTCCTCAGAACCTGAGAACTCCTTCACCTCCTCAAGCTTTATTAAGGTCAGTCATTTCCCCTAGTTGTAACACTGAAAAATAATGCTTTGGAATATTTACGTACATGTCATTTAGTTCTTATGTATTTACATATTTAATACCTAAACTTCAATTTTTACATTTACATGTTACCTATGCATGGAAGTATGTGTTTTATTCTTAAAAGTTAGAATAGTGGTATTTTTTATGTGAAAAGAAGGATTTGGGTGGTATAAATTTTTTTGAGTATTGCAAGCAATAAAATAAAAAAATAACTCATGAGTAATCATTGCAAATCCATTATTAGATTTCCAAGCTTGCAATGTTGTTCATCTAAGAAAAACTAAGCTTTTTATTTTTATTTTTTCTTCTGGTACGTGCAAACTATAGTTCTTATTCAGAATAATCATAAACCTTTGATTGAAAATTATATGATGAAGCACATCATAATGTATGATTTTGTAATTTTCTGTAGAGATGATTTGCTACCTTCGTTAGTATGTTGTTGCATTTTAAATTCTTATGTTATATGACATGAACTAAAAGAAATACAAATTAAAATTTTAAAAAAATTGAAATCTACCAAAACATATATTTAACCGGCATTTGGAAATCTCTCGGGAGGTGTTTGTTTGCAAGTACTTGAAATTCTGAATTGTTTTAAATTTATTTTAAAGTAAAATTATGTATTCGTACTATTTTGCTAGTGTTCTGTTTGTAGAAAAAAAAATTGGAGTTTATTTTTACATGTTTAGTGGCTTACAAAGTATTTCAAACTCTTGACGATGACATTTCAATGCATTTGCAATGCATCACAACGCATACAAGCAAATATTTCAATACCCTTAATTCTCATTCAACCCATTTACAAAATGCACCCATTTTGATAGCATCCAATCATAGTCCCTCGAAACTTTTTTAATTATTTGCAGGGATTATGCCCAGCGTTAACTCATGATCAAAGATTCGGCTTCTCATACACAGTCGGCAAACATGAGACTGGTGAGCCTCGCAATGTCGATCTAGTTGATCAATCTCAAACTCATTCTGTGATCATGATATCCAAACCCATTGCGATGCACTCGACTTCCATGGATATGATTCATGCCAGTGAAGATCTGATGAATCCTCATCGAGATGACGGTAGCCGTAATGAAGAATCCGATCGAATTTTAGAGAGAGAAAACCCTTCAGATGAGAAGGATTATCAGCTTGTTAGAGAACAGATTCAAGCTTGAATTCCATTTCTTCCTCAGATCAGCCACAAATTTCTGTAAATCATGCTGGTTCTGCTCCACAAGGTAGTAGTTCTGCAGAAGAAGAGCACTCAAAGGGTCGAAAATGTCAAAAAAATTTGTAGAAAAAACCAAATCATGAAATTCGGAAGTCTCTCTCTCTGATTCTTGGCTCATAAACAAGTTCCAGGTATGATTATCAGGCCAGAGAACATGGTGAGATTTCTGATTGTCTTGGCCACCATTGATGCTGGAGTTATTTTCTTCTTTGTTTTTTGGCTCCTCCATAATTAAATTGTAGCAGTAATTATTTTTTCATATCCACGGTCCGCTTGGGACTTAGATTTAATGTTTCACAGCAAACTCAATATTTAATTTACTGTTGAATTTGTAAAAATATTAATTCTCAATAAGAAAAAATATTTTAAGTTTTCTTTTTGTTCATTCTGTGTTCTATTTTATAGTGTAATTTCATGTTTAGTAGCATTCCCTTCCAGTATTGGGAACATTTGTTCCAATGTCGTGCATACTACTTGCGAGTAGTGGGGAACGTGCAAAAGAATCCTCTCGAACTCGACGCTCATAAAGGGATCAGTTTCAGTTTGGAGACCATCGCGACCACTGAACTAGTACCTGTCTTTGAAGGTGAATGTGAATGCACATTTCAAATTAGCTCCAACTTACATCACGAGCAGAAGGATCAGTTGATCTCAACTTTGAGGGATCACTAGGATGTATTTGCATATTTATCATTTGTTTCCTTAAATTTGCAGAAAATATGAACTAAAAATTTCAGATGTGTAAATGTGAAAATGGGAAGTATGACTTAATATATGTATATAATGCATATGGATTAGGTGAATGCTGTTTTGTTACTTTTTAGGAGTATTTACATGCATGCGTGCATTTTACACCTAAACTTTCACATTTATTTGAATAATATTCAAATGTTTGACGTCTCCTTAAAAATATCACTATTATTTGATATAAATATGATTGTATTACAAACATAAATTTGAAAGTGAGAGTGTTAGATGTGTAAATGCATAAGAATTGTATGGTATGAATGTAAATTTTCCTACTTTTTTATTTCTAGCTAATCTGATTGTGAAGAAAAAATTGGTCTTGGAAATGGTTTTGCACAACAGAGGAGGTTTACATAAATTTATATTTTTCATAATCTTGTTTGTGTTTAGAACCATTTACATATTGATGAATGTCATGTTTCGGCTTGGTTTATTTTAATGTCGAGGAGCTCGTTCAGCTCTTATATTTGGCTCCACTCATTAAAAGGGTGGAACTTCATTCATAAATAAATAAATATTTTAAAAATTGAAGTTATAAAATTTAGATTTCATTACTTAAAAAGCACTCATAATGCATTTTTTATGTGATGTTAAAAATTTGATTATTATGTATGTAAATATTAAAGTTTGGATGTCGGATGCAAATACATAAAAATTGGGGCATGTTTGCAAATATACAATTTTTTTAAGCTGAGGTATAAGACTACAATAGTTTATGATTGGAAATATCTTAACTGATTGTTTATATTTTTTTAATAATTACATTCAAACTAGTAGCACTAATATAACAACAACAAGCTTTTATTCTGCTTAGTGGGGTCGGCTACATGAATCCTTTTTCTCTATTGCATCATGTTGAGTGTCGTATTTTTATTTAATTCTCATATATTATGATCATTTTTTATACAATATGCCCAAGTCTTTTTAGGTCTATCTTTGACTTAACATAAGTCGAATCTAAAACATCTATTCTTCTAACTAGATCATCAGATGGTCGATGTTTAATGTGATCAAACCATCTAAGACGACTCTCCCTGATCTTGTCCGCCGCTGAAGCTACACCAACCCTATCATGGATATATTCATTTCACATTTTGTCTTTTAAGTGTCAAGTCACCCATCTATATAAGCATTCTCATCTCAGCAACTTTTAACTTCTTTTAATACTTAGTGTCGATCCACTCATCCACCTAATAATCATACTAATATCTATTTCTTTAAGGGCCAAAATCTTAATTTGATTTTTTAAATAAATAACACCATAAGAGATTCGTTAAGAAAATTATCATTTTTAAAATAAAAAAAAATAAATAAATAAAAGTAACTCCAAAGCTAAAAAATTAGTAGAGCTCGCGAAGATATTACAGTGCCATTCGATATGCGATTTAAATCTGGATTTACATTAAAAATTAATTTAAATCTATCAAACCTAACAAATCGAAGTTAAATCTCGCTGTTATCTAAATTCAAAATTTTCTCTATTGTAATGATAATCTTGAATTTAATAATAATAATAATAATAATAATAATAACAAGCCTTGGTCTGTTGGTGGCAGGGTCACTGTAAGTCCCATCAGATCAATGTTTCGATCCTACCGTGGTGTGGGTTCTCATCATGAGGTCTAAATGCGCATGTGAAATCGATATTTGGGCCTTTATCCATTTCCTTAAAAAAAAAAAAAAAAATGCAATATTAGTGAAAGCGCTGGCATACGAAATCTGCATGTTTCACTCCTCACTCATCTCTCGATCCACTCCGCTATCTCTCCTTAGGCTCAATCCCTCACCTGCCAAAGCCCCGCCGCCCAAATGGCGCTTCCCGCTCTATCTCAATTCAAATCTCCTCTCCCCAGGCTCTCTTCTCCTTCACCTTCTTCTTCTCTAAAGCCACCTAACATCATCTCTTCTTCTCTTCATTTTTCCTCCCGCCATCGAAGACGTACCATCGCCGTCGCTCTTCCACAGCCCTCCTTCATCAGCTCCTCCTTCAATGGCGACCACCATCACGATCGGATTCCCCATGCTCGGCCACCAGAGATCCCATGGAGCAAGGATATGGCTAATTCCGTCAACCTCATCGGAACCATCGGTGCTTCGGTTCAGATAAAGCAGCTAAGCAGCGGCAAGGTGCTCGCATGGACCCGCCTAGGGTTCAAGAAGTCGTCCTCCGAGACTTCATGGTAAATGAAAGAGATGAGGGTAGATTACCCTTTGAATTCTCTCCTTTTTGTCAATGCTGTCCAGGTGCTCGACGAAAGTCCGGACTCTGATTTTATTTAGTTTTTAGGGGCATTTACATACATAGAAAACACAATTCTTATGTATTTACATATCTCACGGCTGAAAATTTACTTTTTACATTTATACCACTCAAAATTTTGAGATCATATCAAAGTACCACTATATTATCTTTTAAAAAGTGATATTTACGTTTTCATGCATAGGTAGGTGTTATGCTTGTAAAAATTGAAGTTTAGGTGTAAGATATGTAGATACATAAGAATTGAATGGAATGTATGTAAATCTTCCTTTTTATTTTTTTTGAATTTTGTGGGGTGCATTGTAGGATCAACCTGACCTTCTGGGATGAACTGGCTCATGTGGCCTTCCAACACGTGGAGAAGGGAAATCAGGTTCATGTTTCTGGCCGTCTGGTGTCAGATACCACTGAGGGGGAAGATGATAGGCCCTTGATTTTCTACAAGGTGTGATTCTTATGCATTCTTTATTTTAAAAATTCTAGCTTGAGATTAGAGAACTTCTATTACATGAGGAAAAGTGAATGACCTCTCATTATGGCATGAGGATCAGAAGAATTGCATTAACTTGATATGAGAAAAAATTGCTCTTGATATCTCTAGCAAAATCTAGTTTTTGATGCAATGGTGCTTATCTTTTGAATTGCAAGGTAGCTCATTTTATTTTGGGAAATTTACATATGTATCACTTAATTATTATGTATTTACATATCTCACACCTAAACTTTCATAATTACATACATAACAATGTTGTTTTAAACCTATGCATGAAAAGTTGTATTTCACTTTTAAACAATGATGATAGTGATATTTTTTAGAAAAATGTTAAAATAGTTGCTTGACTTTTTAAGGGGGGTCATTTTGGTCTTAAGGTCTATAAAAGTGTCAATTTAGTTCTCATACTCTTTTTAATATGGGTTGAAATAGTCCTATGAAAGTCCCCACATAGGACTATTTCATCCCCAATTTAAAGAGTATCGAGACTAATTTATCACTTTTATGGACTCTGGGAATAAAATAAATTCATGTAAATAGTTAAGGGACTATTTTGACACTTTAATCTGATATTTTTTATGTGATATTAAAGATTTTAGTGCTACATGCGTAAATATGAAACTTTAGTTGTGAGATATGTAAACACATAAGGATAGTGAACTATGTGTGTAAATACCCCATTTATTTTTACAATTTACTGTTATAGTATGGGATAATCACATAAATAAAATCCAAAACTTATATATTTACAAAACTAGTACTCATTTTATTTTTTTGAACTACCAAACCCATGTATTTACATGTGTTATGATAAAACCATTAGGAATTTGTTAAAATCAAAACTAATAGGCTGAGATTTTGAGAATTTGAAAAAGGAATGCTGGAGGGTGCTAGTTTTGTAAATAGCAATGTTTCCAATGGTAATAATTTTTGTATAGTAAGAATAACTATCTGTTACTGATGTGGGTTTGTGGGTTAAATCACTGAGGTGACCCAATAGGTAGATGTGGGGGTCTCCTAAGATGCTTAAGATGTTCTAAGAGAATCACCAAACCCTCTTAGATTTGGCCGGCCACCAAACCACCAATAATAAAGTAATTTCTTTCCTCAATTTCTCACAAATAAAAGCTCCTCCATTCAGTAGAAAATAGAGTATTTAAACTCACACATTTACCACTCAAATGAATAGATGCATCTTCTCTTCATTTGAAAAGATGAGGGAAGTGATTGGCCTCTTAGCTGTTGATCTAGTCAACCCTGCAACTATCGCTTCAACTCTCTTCTACTCACATGACCGGCCTCTTAAACCTCAAATCAATTTATTAGCTGAAATAAATAAATAAATAATTAATCTTATTAATTCATTTTGACTTCTTACAACTAATTACAACACATAAATACAAATACAACCATAGATACCCAACCATGCAACACGACACCCACTAAAAATAGAAAATACATAAATATGATAACATAAACATATATATGGTCTTCAAGGCTTCAGTCTTCATATTTTTCATGTTTTGATCCCTTGGCTTGGCTTGATCTTCTGACTTGAGTCCACTTTTTTTTTTCCTGTTTATTGCACATTATGGCAAATCACTCCCTCAACCTCGAGAAACTCCTCCTGAAAATTTATGTTGGCCTCTTGTGCTACATTGTTACTTGTTGTCATATGGAATAGGACATGTCTTGCAATTTGATAGAAATATCATGCATTTCTAGAAAAAATGTCCTATTTCACAAGTTATTTTAGCTTAGGATATCCTCGTCCAAGTTTTTTGCAGAAAATATTTGGTTTTTCCAAACTGTTAAACTTGTGGTGACCAGTTATTAAATCTTTTATTTTCCTTGTTTGTGATTTGATTTTTGGGACATTTACATACATACCACACAATTCTTGTGTGTTTGCATTTATAACACCTAAACATTCATATTTGCATACACACCACTTAAATATTTAACATCACATCATAACTACCACGATCACCTTTTTTTAATAATGAAATACACCTTTTCATGCATAGGTTTATGACATCAAGCTGTTATTAGTATATACATCAAACTTTGGGTGTTAGATATGTAGATACATAAGATTGTGTGGTATGTATGTAAATTGCTCTTGATTTTCCATTCTTCGCTAAGTTTCTTATGTTATTGCAGATTGTTGTTCAGCAGCTAAATTTTATTGAGAGGAGCTTCCAACCAGCTCCATCGTATGAACAGGGTACACAATCCGTGAATTCTGGTACTTGTTTTTTTTTTTTTCATTTTTGTACTTCATACTTTGGAACTACTTTTTGCTTCATTTTATTTGTCTTGTAATGCAGGTCTAAGGAATGAAAATTATTCGGGAAACAATTTTGCTTCATCTTCAGCAGAGGAGCTCTGGCAAGCTTTCTTTGCTAATCCTGTAGACTGGTGGGACAATAGAAAGAATAAGGTTCTTTTTTCTTCTCTTTGAATTCAACTTAGCAACTACTGCAGGTGAATTTTTATAGGAAAGATTTACATAACATACCCTCAATTCCTATGTATTTACATTCATCTAACACCTAAACTTCAATTTTTACCGTACATACCACGTTACCTATGCATGAAAAGGTGTATTTTACATTTTAGATATATCTGTCTCCTAAACTTGGCTTTTACATTAATATCACCCAAATCTTTCACAGCACATAAATAATACCACTATTTTGACTTTAAAAAGTAAAATACACCTTTTGATACATAGGTAAGGTGCTAGATATGTAATTACATAAGAATTGAGTGGTACGTATGTAAATCTTAATTCATTTTTTTTGGAAGATTTACATACATACTCCAAAATTTCTTTGTACTTGCATACCTAAAACCTAAGCTTCAATTTTTATCATACATCCATCTTACCTATGCATGAAAAGGTGTATTCCACATTTTAGAAGTTAAAAAGGTGGTATTTTTTATGTAATATGAAATTTTTTGATGGTATAAATGTAAAAAGTAAAGTTTAAGTGTTAGACATGTAAATGCGCTGGAATTGAGTGGTATTAATGTAAATGCCCCATTTTTATAATGAGATTATTGAATGGTTTCTCTTTTGTACAGAAAAATTCCAGGTACCCAGATTTTAAGCACAAGCACACAGGTGAGGCATTGTGGATTGAAGGCAAGAACAACCCACCTTGGGTGAAGGGTCAGTTAGCTATATTAGATGAAAAGATGAGTTCTTTTCAACCTTATGGATCAAATTCTACTGTTTCTTTGCTTAATGGGAATAATGATTTTTTGTCTCTTTAATTCTGCTTTAGTTACAGGCGCTTCTAAGCTTGAACTGCAATTCAAATTTCTCATTTTGGCCCCTCATATTGATTGCTTCTCATGATTTCTTTTTCTTTTTTCTTTTTATTTTTTTATTGGTTTTCTTGTTTTGTTTGTCTGAATCCTGAATATGTGTCAAATAGGTGCAAAGGCATTTGCTTCATATATTTCCTGTTACTTTTTTTTTCTTTTTTTAATGGACAGACCACCCTAAACTTGTTATTTACAAATAAACCACCCTCTTTCATCCATTTTTCAAATTCTCACAAAAATATCAAAATTCATGGTAAAACGTCGACCCATATTTTTCATTTTTATCACTCAATTGTTTGATCATGGCATGCATAAATACATCAGTTTAGTAGTTCAAAAAATATCCTGGCTGGTTAGTATGCAAATATCAATGTTTTGGGTGGTCTATTAGTTATTAACCTTTTTTTTTTAATTATAACTAAGGGTTATATTTGAAATACTGAAAATGGTATATTTTTCTTTCTGCCCATAAATTTTGGTTTTTTAAGTGAAGCAGGATAGCTTGATCTCATGTCAACTGCACCGTTTTATGCTTTTGAAGAGTTTTTTTTTTCTTAGACAATGTAACAATACATAAGCCGAGTAAATATTATTGATTCAGAAACTGGTTGTTAATATTGATGTTTTGGGGTTTTTTTTTTGTCTATTGATATTCTTGCATCAAGAACATTGTTCATGAATTTTAGATCACCTGATTATTCTTGTGGTATATGTGCTGGTTAAATTAGGAAATATATTTATGGTTGCAATCCAAAAAAAATGTTTTGCATTATATCTAAGCTGAAGTATTATCTTGCTACGAACCAAAGTCAAAATCAGCTAGCAAATTGCAATAGATGTGCAGAGAAACCCAAGGTAGGGCTAATTTGATTAATATCAAAGAAAACAAACAAGATACAAGGGAAGATCTACAATTTGAGATCTATTTTCTCCACAAGCCCTAGATGCCCCTAGAAATATTGAGAGAAAAGAAAAACTGCAGCCAAAACTAAGATAAAACAAACCCTAACCAAAATCCATTCAAATTAATACTCTCCAAAATCCATTCAGACTTTCTCCTCTAATCCCCAGTTAATTCCCCTCCTTTTCTACGTGATTAATGGTTGTGTGGGCTCCACTCGAACGCTGGAATCATCCTGAGCAGTTCCTAGGGCTTCCACCTCTCTCGGTTGGGCCTGTAGGCTTCGCCAGGCTGGCTGGTCCAGACCAATCTTCCTTGGACTGGTTCATCTGGCAGGTCGGCCCTCTTGTCCGTAGGAGCAGGCATATCACATCTACACAAACTATTGAAGCTTCCTGGTTCTGTTGACCACTTAATTTTCACCATATGTATATATATTCAGATCTAATTACATGTATAAATTTATTTTCATATGCATGCATACATGCAAACATATATTTTTCAATCCTATTAAAGCTTGGATCGATACAAGTTTGATCTGATATGGGCATAGCTCATCGACGTTCTAGTTGAGCTTCATTCGAATCAAAATTTGATTTGATTTCCCATTAATCTAGATCTTTTGAGCTAAATTTGTAACCCTACTTAAAGCATATGAATGAGGGTCAACCATTATGTATCCTTACACCAACATTATTTCAATATATCTGATGTGGGACTAAAACTAAATTCAAACATGTCTCGATAATCTTTCTTAACAATTTCTAGGTCCTTGAAGTATAAAATCGTCATTGCAACATCGCATGCCATCGTAAAATCAAGTTTGCTTGCTTCACTCATTTTATTTTGGAAGATTTGCATATACCCCTCAATTCCCATGTATTTACATATTTAACTCCTATACTTCAATTTTTTACTTAGACACCACCTTGCATATGCATTAAAAGGTGTATTTCACTTTTGAAAAGTTAAAATGAAGTACTTTTAATGTGTTAGGAAAGATTTGGGGGGTCTAAACATAAGAAAGTAAAAGTTCAAGTGCTAGATATGTAAATACATAGGAATTTGGTGGTATTTATGTAAATTCCACTTATAACCAAGATTATAAGAACTAATGTATGATGTCCTCTTTAATAATTAACTTAATAACAATCATCCTATCACAAACTACTATCACCTCGACATTTTTAGTTTTCAACTCTTATGTATTATCATATCTCTAACTTTGCTTCTATCACTAATCTTTTGAACATATTAATTTATAACCTTCCTCAATAATTCTTTCTTTTCATTTAGATTCTTGCAAAAAAAGAATTCTTATTGTTCTCTTAGTCATTATATATATGGGGCATTTACATATCAATTCTTATGTATTCACATATCTAACACCTAAACTTTACTTTTTTGCATTTATACCACCGAATATTTCACATAGCATAAAAAACAACAACTATTTTAACTTTTAAAAAGTGCAATACAGATTTCCCTGCATAGGTAAAGTGGCATATATTTAAAAATTGAAGTTTAGGTGCTGGAATATGTAAAAACATAAGAATTGAGTGGTATGTATGTAAATCTTTCTATATAGAACTATTAGTCTTCCCATTCAAAATTCTTAAACTTCGTGCATTTAATCCTAGCTTCAAACGTACTTAACTTCAATTCACTTTTGTCATAATCAATTCAAGTCGTGATTTGTCGCTTACATAATTGAGTTGACTTGTAGCTCATCACTTATAACTAATGTCCCACAACCAATTGTTTACATGTCACCAAAATTATGTGTGGGCTTATTTATTTTATTACTCAAGGAAAAGACGGCGTGTCGGTGATCCTCAATAAACACACAGTTAACTCAAAAAGGCTATGTGGCCGGTCGAATCAATCCGCCCCTTGTAGAACTCCAGCGTTAGCATCTTGAATTTCTCTCTCAGTCTCAGAGATTTACCGAGAGAACTTATTCTCGGACCGACAGGTGTTTCAGTACGCCCAAACCGATTGGTCGGTCAATCGGTGCGAACACATGTTTATTTTATTACTCGAACTAACCTTATTTCATCTCCACTCTAACTTTTCTCGTCTGGACTGGGACCAGCAATAAAGATTTGGTTACATTATTTATTTTCTGCTATTTCACTGTTGTCTTAACTTCCTTTTCTTTTTAGTGCTCCCTATCAGCCTTTTTTTTCTTTTTTTTCCCTTTTTTTTTTGCCTTGTCAATTAAAGTCTATGGGAAAAGTTCTGCACTAATCTTTCACTTCTATAAGCATAGAAAAAAATTGTGAGCATTTACATACATACCACCCAATTCCTATGTATTTACATATCTTGCACTTAAACTTTACATAAAGAATTCTGAGTTACATGATGGTATTTTGGATGTGTAATCATCATCTTTGGGTAAATTTGTAAATAGTTATAATAGTGTGTGTAGTTATGGATAGTTGAGGTTCCTTTGTCGATAAAATCAAAATATCATCATGAAATTCTGACGCTGATCCAACATTTATTTACATTTTTTCGAAAGTAGTCATGATTGTGTTTAAATTCTCCATTCCTTTTTTTAAAAGGTGCTTTATATTGCAGTTTAAAATCTGTAGGCAAAGGAATATGTTGTTGAGATGGGGAATGTTATTTGAGTTATATTTATTGTGCATTATTTTAAAAAATATTGAAAGATTTACATGCATACCCCTCAACTCCTCTGTATTTATATATTTAACACCTAAATTTAAATTTGAACATACATGCCGCCTTACTTATGCATAAGAATGATGCATTTAACTTTTTTAAAAGATAGTTTATCTTTTTGATGTGAAATGATGGATTTGGTGCGGCCTCTGGCGTAAGTCTCTCAAGTCGGAAGTTCGGATCCCATGACGCGGGCTCTTCGAATTAGAATTAAGCACACCGGGTTTTCAACCCATATGGGGGAATTGATATCTGGTGCCCACTGGACCAAATATCGATTTCACCTTGTTAAGAATATATATATATATATATATAGCACTCAATTCTTATGAATTTTCATATATCTCAACTAAATTTTTATATTAATTATGCATGAAAAGGTGAATTTAAATGTTAAAAAATAGTAATTAGTACTATTTTGATGTGATACGAGAGAATTGAAAATCGAGTGCTCTATTTGTAAAAAATGAATGTTTTGATTTGAGATACTCAAATTTATAAGAACTGTGTGCTATGTATGTAAAGGCCTGAAAAAAATAAGATCTTTGCTGTGTTATGAAAAGTATTCAATGGTGTTAATGTTAGAAATTAAAGTTTAGGTGTTAGATATATAAATACATGCAAATCGGGCGGTATTCATTTAAATTGCACAAATATAGACGGTGAAGTTTAGGTGATAGATGTGTAAATACATAAGAATTGGGTGGTATGTATGTAAATGCCCCCTATACTGATCTTTTTATTATTATTATTTTATTATATTTTGAAAAAAATAAATTAGGAATCTTTTTCAAGAATAGACTCTGCATCTTATTGTCACCTCATAAAAGAACCCTTAGGGGTGGCGGGCAGCCCAGAACTTAAATACTACTTTTTGATTGTACACCTAGCCGATGTGAGATTTTTTGTCCGTGATATTATGCTACCACAAAGCCACTAAAAGCTTTTGGTTGTCTTTTCAGTTTTTTCATTGAAATGTAGAAACAGTTTATGGATATTTTGGTCCAACAAGTTCAGGCTATAGAAAATAAAAAAGATAATTATTTTAAAATAAAGTTTTAATAAATTTTAATTTTAAAATATGTTGTTGAAATAATTATAAGTCACTTAAAATCAAGTTATAATAATATAATTATTTTATATTTCATGATAAAATCCATATTTGGCATCCTTTGTTGCCAAAATAATTTTTTTAATCAAGTTATCTCACCTTTTATTACATATGATTATAATTACTCTTACTTTTTAAAAATAAAAATAAAATTAAATTATATTAGAAACGTTGAAAAACAATCTTAAAAAAGATCTTGAAAATGTTCAGATTTTTTTTTACGAGAAAATATTATGTTCGTACATTACACTTTTGAATGGTCAACTACCAGCGGTCCTATTGACATGTACTGAGCATTTACATATATGTC